TACCATGTGTATGTAATTAAAATCAGTATATAACCTAAACCCCAACAAATTTCTTCAGATGGATGGATCTTCGGTTTGATGCAACTGTACCTATCACTGGTGGGGGATAAGCAATTTGCTTTAGGGGTAAACTAACCTAACAAGAAGGCTTCAATATATATTTTAACTTATAAATCTACAAGTCAGTGGTTCGATAGGTCCTTCGAAGATGTGGGTGTCATGCATATGTCAAAACTTCTTGAATTTCTACTTATCACTGAAACAAAGCAAAGTTTCAGCAACCTATCAGTGATCTCACATGCGGGTTATCTAATAAGTCAGAGGAGTTCTGCATGTTTGGCAGCTGGTCTAATTCCTTTGTGTTGACCCAAGTTCATTGACTTGTATGCTGATAAGAAGGGCTGTCTTTTCATGTACCGGAAACAGACGTGCATGATTCTGACTACAGCGTTGTTGTTTCAAAACTGCTAAAGTGAGAGGGGGAGAAAAAAAACACCCTTTACTCTGTTCTACATTTCCTAACCCTTGACACCACAAAGATGCTATGAGTAACTGACTGAAACATTTTATCACTCTGTGAGAATACAAAAAAAAAAAACCTGTTTAACCTAAAAACAAAAAAATGAAATTAAAGTGTAGACGGTTTGTCAGAGTTGCTTTTGTGGCAGAAGAAAGTTTAAATTTGCTATTTAGGAATTTTATTTTTAAAAGTAATGCGGACAAAAATATTTCACAAACTGGAGATAACTCACTGTAAATCACAGGCGTGATKAAGCTTTATGTTTCTAAGATATCAGAGACGACGTGAACATATTCGATAAGTCCCCCTATCTAAATGACCATATTAGTCATTTGCTCGTGTAGAAAAATGACGCAGATGAGTGTTTCCTACACAAGGATTACTGTTTCTTTATAAAACAAATAACACCCAATCATGACTTTAGACCTGTAGCAGTACTTGGACTGCGTGTCAACTTTTAGTGCAATTATTTAATTATTTATGTTCAGCCACTAGCACTAAGTAAAACATAGGAGTCAATACTAGTAAATAAGCCTACAGGTACAAACAATTATAAAAGCTATTAACCCGATAATCATAAGCTTAATATTCATGTGCCAAAGCAGCTCAAAACATGTCAAATTCACACAAGGTTTTTTTCCATTAGTGTCACTGAGAAGATTTGGCGCTGCAGTTAATGAAGGTCAAAAGGGGGGAAAAAATGAGCCTCCAGTAAAAAAGCAGCCAAAAACGTGCTAACCCTATGAAATGTTATAAGTGTTCACACTGTAGAACAGATGCACGAGTTAGCGATGATCAGTTATCCTTAATGATAAGCATATGATAAATTATTCAAAGATTAAAATTACTGAACTTGTTCCTTTCCAAAATAAAATAAAAAACATTAATTTGTCAGAATTACTGAAGAAGTTTCTTGTTATCCTACTGTATAAGTGAGCCACCATCGTTAATCTGTTTGAGAAAATAARGACCTATGAACTAATAATCATCATTTCTCACTGAGACAGTAAAGTGGAGGGTGGTCTCCCAAGGGAAAAAGAAATCAAACTGGAGGACCAAGCGCCGCGATTAATGAAAAACCAATTCTTCCCTGGGGCAGCTTCACCACTTTACTTGGCAGCAACAGGGTGTGCTGAGCTACAACGCTAATCATTTCAAGCTGAGGGGAAATCATTGTTATCTCACAGCTCCACCCCTACGATGCATTGTTCCACTTTTGTGATGAACTCTAATTCAAAACAGAACAATGAAACTTGGAGCAAGTCCCTCAGAGAGACTGAATTTGTACACCAAACAATGCTCCTTTGCCAAGAAGAGGAGAACATTTAAAAACCTATGTCAAATCGTGCACGGGTGTGTTTTTTTTTTGTTATGTTTGGTCCTGAAACACACTTAGGAAAAGGTTTTGATTTAACGAGGCATGTTAATTACAGCTGAATGAAGTTAAAATTAATGGCAGCCAACATGCCTTTGGGTCCCAGAAGCTTGCTTAAAATTTTGAGGTTTTCAACGTGAATCTATAGGGATTCCTTCATACAACTAAAATCAGACTTGAACATTTGAAGAACAGCTATAGAATTAAATACATTTTTTTCCAAGGAAGTTAGAAAAACTGGGCACCTCCTGCCACATTCTCCAAAATAACATTATTGTAATGACATAAAAACTGTTTGTCTTTCATCTGCTCCCTTCTCCAGAGGTCACCGCAGCAAGTGAACTCGCATTAAAAATTAGCTTTACACTAGATGCCCTTCCTGAAACAACATGGGCTCAAACCTGCCGACTCAGTATTACCGCAGCACTGACCACCGAGCTACCACAGCCCAAGATTATATTCTTATTACCAAAGGTTTTACCACTTTTTGGGGTTACAGGGTTTAGAAAGCGTGCTAAATGTCAGACAATGGGGAATAAAAATCTCCAGGACAAGGTGACAGTCGGCAAGACATTTGTCCATGCACTTTTCACTATAAGAAATAGCTAATAACCTAAAAACTGAACAAAAACCAACTGATAACTAAATGCTTTCAACTTTCAAAAGTGTCCCTCACAATATCTTAAATAGGATGTTTTTCCTTTAAGAAATCTCAAACACATGAAGAACAGCTTCATATCGATATGTTACCATTATCCTGTCGACATGTCATGAATAACAGACTGACAGTTTTTTAAAAACGAGTTAAGTCAAGCAGATTTATAATTTAAAAGGGGAGGTATTATGCATTATCATCTTTTTGGGGTTTTATTTCACATTATAATGTCATTCATTCCCTCATCGAAAGCATACCCAGAGTGTTGCTTCGACTCTTTCATGCATGTTTGAGAAATCCTGACTCTCTTGTGGTGGCCATGTGGAGCTGCCTGAGTGCTTGCTGGTACAAAGCACCGCCTATTTATACAAAACTCCTCCCTGGAGATTAGTCCCCAGCCAATCTCCCGCTCCACAGAGCTCCTCCTCCCCCCTCCAAAGAACTGTTGTGAAGACGTGCTGAAGTGGGAGCGTTGGAAACAGTAGGAGGTTCTTAAAAAAGATAGAGGCCAATTTCAAGGCATTTAGATAGGCTGTGATGCAAAGTAAAATGTATTTATGATAAATACAGCGTTTTCATAACAACTGAACATAATACTTGATTGTGGTATAGAATTGAACTACCCGGTATGCGGAAAATACATAACGCCACCCCACTTTTAAAAGACTAATTAGATGTAATACAGGGAAAAAGAAGAGGTACTGTTTCTCTTAACCAGTGTTAAGTCAATGTTAAGTTAAGTTAAGCTTATGCTTCAGCACTGACAGTCCTTTCTAGGCCTCAGGTCTGGGCTGGAGCAGAAGGCACCCAGCATCCTGCTGATTCAGTCTGGCCATCTCACTGTTGCCACTGAGTGGATTACAAGCCAGCTATTGTTCCTGCAGGTGTGTGTGTGTGTGTGTGTGTGTGTCCGTGTGTGCCTGTCCTGCTACTAGAATCTTCAAAATTCACAGACAGTCACTGATTTATGTCATTTACATTGCTAAAGTCGACACAAATGCAACCGAACCGTGAGAAATGGATTTTATAAATGAACATTAGATTTTCTTATACCAAACGAGGAATGATTATACACTTTATAGGGCTGGGTATTGTTAACAACCTCATAATTCAGTTTAATTTCAATTCTTTGGGTCACAACTCAGTTTGATTTTGAGTCGATTCAAAATTGCTTTAAATGTTTTGATATCTATTTCCTAATAAGAAGTATACAAATTTATTAGAGTTGTTGTGGATAATTGTACATATTAATTTCCTGCCTTTACAAACATAAATGGTACACATTAACATTTTATAGATTGTTTCTGACTGAAGTGTAAACTGGCCAGGGGGGTATCGAACTGATTCAGATGTTTTTCTGAATCATTATTGAATTGCAATCAATCAATCAATCAATCAATCAATCAATCAATCAATCAATAAATAAATAAATAAATAAATAATATATAAAATCCTTCCCTACAATGCACTGCTGAATCGATTATTTTACCCACCACTCTATCATCTACAAGTATTTGGGTTCAAAGACAATAAAAWTCTGAGCTCAGCCTTCTTAAACTGCAAATAAAAGCTCCCACACTGACTGGATTGTTTGTTCCGAGCGCAGAACAAGGCACACTGACAAACACCGAGGCCTACATAAATCCAGGACCAGACTACGCACGTGCTTGGACGCCAGCTCTCATTTAGGTTATTCTTGGCTCAAACATCACCTAGACTCCAGCAGCACGCCTGGCTGCTTGAGTGTTGCAACATTTCAGCTCTGGCTCTGTGAGGGCCATTTGACAGACCAAACCAGAGTGTGTACATTAGGAGAGTACCATAGGCAAGTCTGTATTTATGGAGGTTTAAAGTTGGAAGGCTGGGAAAACTGCCCAGTGCGAGTATTTTAACCGTGTCTCCTACATGAAAAGCAACAACCACTCTCTTTATGTTTAAGGATTTATTCCCTTCTCGGCAACAAAAGCCAGCTAGTTTGTGTCTGGAAGTCGATCCAAGGGCTTCTCTGCAGCCAAAAAAGTAGTCGAGGCYTCTGAAAACTGTCTACTCTTGTGTGTATTGCTCATTCAGTACAGAACCAAATAACTGCTCCTGCTCATTAGCTCTCTTTTGCTTTTCATACTTCCTGGGAACCTAACTACATATAAAATCTAATCGAAGGAGAAGATGCTTTCTGTGGACATCTTGTCAGTAAAAACCACATCGTTTCAGCTGCTTTATGTGGGCAGTGTGGAAGGGAGAGGTATTCTCCACAATGTCCAACATCAATACAGAAGAATGTGTAGTATGAGGGCAGATTTCCAGATGCATTCTTAACACTTTCATCCATCTAACACAGATGTATACAAACTTAATATTCACGGCTTACTCTTAAAAAGWGACAGTTTTATAATATTACCAATCAAGAGTGGTGAATTCTCAACAGTAATTTCTGCATTATATCCTCCTACCTGTCTTCATCCTCATCCAGGGGGGATATCTGGATGTTAAAAAGGCTGCTGACAGTAGGGGTGGGCAGGTTGAGACCCTCGTAAACAGGAGACTTTACACCATCCTTCCCGGGCACTGCAACGGCACTGTGGTGAGGTGTGACATCAGAGTTCTGCCAGTCTTCTGCCTGGTTGCTGAAGCCAGAACCGAGGSCCGCTGCGGTTCCCCCGTGAGCTCCTTGGAGCTGGACGTGTCCTCCAGCGCCGGGCGCCTGACTCGACGCGCCCGGAGGTACGCTGGTGGTGCTGGGCACTGCGGCAGGCACGTTCTGGCCACCACTCTGGGTGGAGGCGGCGGCGGCGGTGGTTGCGGAGGGTCCTAACCCTCCTGAAGGCTGAGTCTGGTTGACAGGCTGCTGCGTGTTTCCTGCTAGGATGGGGGACGGGACCGGTGCCTGTGCAAGACCCTGGGCTGGGCCTGCTTCTCCAACCAGCCCTGGTGTTACTGGTCCGGTGGGTGTAAACAGCGGGGGGGACACCTGGCTGGCTGAAGACCCTAACGAGCAGGATGTTAAGTTCAAGCCGAAGTGTTGCTGATAATAGTCTGGGTAGCCAGAGCAGAAGCCAGCGGGGTGATTAGAATGAGCGAACTGCTGGGGCTGCGAGGCAGGGGGCACGACGGCACCTTGGTGGGCACCGTTGAGGACGTTTTGGGGCGTAACGGGCTGCATATTGACCTGAGCCTGTTTGGTTTGCTGCGACGCTGCGGCTGTGAACCCCGCGGGCTGGAAGGCACTTGCTCCGCTCCCGATCTGAGGAGACATGTAGKCTTGCTGCAGAGGATCTGAAGCGTGGGAGTGGGTGGGATGTCCCGCAGACACAGAGTAGCCACTATCAGTGTTTTCAGAAAACACACTATTGACTATAGAAGTAATGGTGGCTCCTAATCCACTGTCCCGGTCCATGCTTTGATCGAGGGCTACAGCCGGCTTTATGCTGTCCACAGTTCGACTGACACTTGGATCTGAATCTTTCTCATAGAACTCAGTACATGTCCACCTGCCCCGTCTGAAGGGCTCTCCACTGCCATGGTCCAGTTTAATGACCCTAAACCGGGAGGTGCAACTGCTGGTGGCGACAGAAGAGGCAGCGGGGGCAGTGGAGCTCAGAACCGGCACACTTCCTCCTCCATTATGTGGGGCGACTCCACCAGTAGGTGCACTTTTATAACACGGCCCCCCGTTCACAGCACCTGTGTGGGGCAGCTGTCCCTCCTGATGACCTCCACAACTGTTGAGGGCTTCTTCCGGGGAGCCCCTGTCACACGCGCCCGGGTCCACCCGAGACACGTCGAACAGACCCGACGACACGTCCAGCTCGTCCAGGCTCTCGGTGTCGTCCGGGATGCAGCTCGCGGCCACCTGAGCCTGCGTGACGCTCGTGATCTGGAAGCAACTTTTCTTCTTGCCGTTTGTTTTTGACATCGCGCTTCGATACGTTCGGCTGACGGCCGTCCCGGCGAGATGAAACGGCTTGAGCCTAAATGTCTTCGCGAAGCAAACTCACAGCTGAGGAGCGAGATAAAGAGACGTACCGTGACCGTACATTTCCACGCTGTTCATCTTGTTTTAGGACGCGGCGGTCTCTCTCTCTCTTTCTCTCTTTCTCGGGGGTGAAATGTGTTTCTCACCGAAATTAGCACAGGTAGCTGGTGTCGGCTAGTTTCCCCTGCTTCTTCTTCTGGAGGAGCATAACTGACATCGTGATGTAAACAAAACTCAGCAGCTTTAAAAAAAAAAAAAAACAATAAATGAAACGTAGTCCAGCAGGAGACGAGGAGAATCTGTCTCAAAGTCGGCGAAGCTCCCCTGTCGTCGTGGGGACAGCTGAGTTTTGGCAGCGAGCTGACAGAAACCCACTTTATCACACAGCCGCGGTGAGCTAACGGGCAGCTAGCTCCTGCCTGCCGCTCAYCCCCTCCACAAGATGGCAAAAAGGAAGTGCATCACGACACGGGAGGTCAAACCTGTTCCCCGTTGACTCGAGTGAATGCTCCAAAAAAAAAAAAAATAACCGAATGTCTCCGGAAACTTCTCGTTTATAAAGCTGGGGACGACAGATGTGTTTCAAAAGAGAAAATATTCTTGAAACAAGTTAAACACTGTTGTTGTTGTCGTCACTTCCGCTTTGCGTCACATCCGGTAGAGTTGGAGAAACTTTGCGAATTTTTACATTTTTGAGTTTGGCTCTCATTTTTTGTCCACCGTGTGACTATTTTTTTTATTTAGAAAATTATTGTTGTTTAAGCTCCTTAACGCTAATCTTATTAATGTTTTCGGGTATAATAGGCTAATAATAAATAAAAAAGTTCATTTTTCTCGTTTTTTAAGCACAAGCTTATGGAAGCCCATTTCCGCCACCCTGATAAAAAAATAAAACTTGTATCTCAGATAGTAGTATCTCATAATTATGATTTAGCTATCTCATAATTATGAGATACTATCTCATAATTATGAGATAATAGTATCTCATAATTATGACTTAGCTATCTCATAATTATGAGATAATAGTATCTCATAATTATGACTTAGCTATCTCATAATTATGAGATAATAGTATCTC